ATATTGCTGGGAAAACAATAAAGCATTCCTTGTTTTGCTTTGATATGTGTGATTCCAACAACTGGAAAATCATATAAACTCTGCAGGTTGAAAGTTGATTAACCTTGGAATGGAGAAGGAATTCACCCTTCTATGTGGTGAAGAGAAAGACATTCCAGTAAAGTTTTTAACTTCTTCTCCACTTTCACACCTGAGCTGTGCCATTCTTTCTCCCATTTCCAATAATTCCTGTTTCTTCACCAGCCTTAAGTGCCTGGCAAACATTACCAACCTGGGCCCCAAACAGTTCACCCAGGATCCCTCTGTCCCCCTGACACATGATTACTGTAGCCCTGCCCTCCACAAGGTGGAGCTGAACCAGGTTGCCCTGCATCTCATCTGCATATAAATTTTTGGAGGATCCCAGGACTGCCAGTGACTACAACAACTAGTTCCAGTCATGAGTGGGGTACTAATTAGCACATGGATCCTTTGTTGGGGTTGCTGGAGTATACACACACAGGGTTAGGTATTTAACTGGTCAAATAAAGTTCAATCAAGTGACCAGTCAAATATTGGTCAGAAATTATAGAAAATTGCTAGATCCAAATAATACACAGAAAAAGCACAAATGTTCCATTAAGAAATGGGTAAAAACAATTACAATCATTTTTTGTCAAGAAAACTACAAAACGTAAGGGTTTTTTTTGTAAAATTGCTATATTGTTTAACCAGTTAAAATATGCAGTCAATTAACTTCTCAGTTGACAATATTTGACCAGATCCATAAAAAGCACACAGAAAAATTTAAAGCAGCACTTTAAAACTCTTCTAGATAGACTCACCTGGGGACACACAAATAACTACTCATGGCATGTGCACTTTCACAAATAGGAGCAGCACAAACTTGTGCTCGGGATTTTTGTCTCAGTGCATGTGCCTGAACAATCACCTTGGTGTGGGGCAAGTTGTGCCAATTGGGGCAACATGACCCTATCCAGGTCCTTCCGTATCTGCAGCCAAGGGGAGATCGAGGTGGGGCCCAGCACCTGTGTTGGGCCCAGCACCTGTGTTGGCCCCAGCAGTATAAAAAACTGCCCTGTGCTGGCCCCAACAATATAAAATCCTGCCCTGGCAAGCAGCTCAGGGCTACAGACTCTGGAGCTTCTGAAACCCAGCCAGTTGGTATCTGGGGACACAAACCCTTGTGCCAGCTAGACTGCTGAAGCACCCCTAACCTGGGGTGGCCCCTGCACCCTCTACCCACTGCAGCAGTCTGGCAGTGGGGGCTGCTGCCACCTGTGACAGCATCTTCCCCCTTCAACCTGTGGCCCCATGGCTGCGTGCCTGCCAGACCCAGATGGGGTGCTCCCGAATGACGTGTAGGCAGCTATCAACCAGAAGATGTGCTCCTTGCAGTGGCCTGCTTTGATCTGTCAAAGTGTGTCGTCTTGGCTCCAAATGGCCAAGAGGTCAGCCACCTTGTCTATCCTCCAGCTGGGTCCCCAGTGTTGGCCTTGGACAGGCTCCTCTGCCCAGGTCTCACCACTTGTCTCACCAGCAGAGATCCTGGTGTTTGATGTTTAAAAATTGCAAATATTCTCATAAAGAATCCAAATTCTCTCATTAAAATACCCAAAATAGTGTTTTTCTGCTATTAAAATGAAATGCCACTATATAGAGAGATGAGTTGGGGAAATTTTTATTGAATTATTTACAAGTGTAAAGCAATTTGGAGTGGGGGTTGGAGGAGTTTGTGGATGAGTGTAGGGTTTGTGGGAGTGAGATTTGGGGGTGGGGGGTCAGGGGCTTGTCGGGGTTTGGGGCTTGTTCCTGGGTATGTGGATAAGGGGTTTGTGGAGGTGGCTTGAGGTTGTGGGTGGATTGTGGGGGGACTGGGTGTGGGGGACTGGTTGGGGGTACTGCTTAGGAGGGGTGTGTCTCCTGCCCCCCAACAGGGTGCAGCATCCCCCGCACAGCACACTGACTGCCTCCCCTCCCTCAGAGCCAGTTTCCGCCACTGGGCCCTGTGGGGGGCATGGTCCACGTGCCCCACACAGAGCCCACATCTCTCCCCCACACCACACACATGCCCCCTCAGGGCACACGCCCCTCCCACTTGCACAGTCCACAGCCACCCAGTAGCAGCAGCAGCAGCCATTGGGGTACTCAGCACCCTCCTGGCACAGTCAGGTGTGGTCCCTGTGAGTGGTGCTGGGCCCTAGGTGACAGCCCATGCTGTCCAAAGGTACACAACCCTGCACTGAGCCAGGCCATGCCCACTCAATGTGGAACAGGCAGTGCCAGGTACCAAAATGTCTTTTTGGTGAACCCCAGACTCTAGTTGCCTCAGGGCATGATACAGGACCGTGCCTTCCCTTGCTTTTTTTCTGGGGTTTTTTGACACCAGGCTTTTTTTATACCTGTATTTATTAATCCATCTTTTAATACAAAAAAGTAGGAAATGTAGCTGTGAAGTTAACAGCCCTTCTTTTTTTGTCTTTTATGACAAATAATTCAAGCCTGTTCTGCCTTAGAGTTCATGGATCCATGAACATTATACAATTTCATGTATCCATAAACATGCACCACTGACAGACCTAAGAAAGGTCTTTTTTAGTGTTGCTTTATTATTGATATTTTACTACGGCCTCTGATACATTTTCATGTAAAAATGCCATGGGACCTGATCCCAACAATTGCACATCCTTTCATGCTACACAGGGGTATGGCACGGGACATGATTTTGGAATCAAGGGATCAGATCCCAGTTGGACTCTTTCTGTTCCAAGAAATTGAAAAATGAGTGTTTGCAGATGGAGGCCTGGGCCGAAGATCAGGTGATTATTAGTTGGGTTGGGGCCAACAGCAAGCTGATTGGTGGCTTCTGCCCCAGCACCACACCAGGGACTCAAGCTGGTCCTGGTGAAGTCTCAGCCTTACAATCATTCGTTTTTTGGCTGGGGCCCAGACTGCACTGGGACAAGTTCCAGATTCAGTCCCAGTTCCTGGAGAACCTTAGGTTTTGACCTGACCCTAGAACTGTCCGGTGGGAGTCAACAATCAACTAATAGTCAAAACCCCATGCTGGGTACCTTTGGCCAGGCTGCCCGACGCAAGGGATCAGAAGGTCCCAGCCAGAGTATCCACTGATACATGGAGTCTAAATGTAGAATATTTTTATGCCTTGTATACCTTATATGGGTATATGTACACCTTAGACTGGGTCTGCATATACCACCCTTGCCATTTAGGCTGCAGTTAACACATTAATAATCATAGCATGAATGTAAGGTATAGATGGGGCCTAAAGTATTTCAGTTGGAAATAAGAAAGAAAAGAAAAAACAAAATATTTCTTGCATCTGTCTACTATTCAGTATGTAAATCAGTACCACAGTAGTCTTTCTCCTTCTTGGTGATTATTTAAAGCAGTGACTTTCAGTTGGGCTGCCACAGCACCCGAAGGTGCCTTGAGATCCTTTTAATGGTGCAGCAAGATGCTGCACAGTGTTAGCACTATTAGGTCCGTAATCATGAATGACAACATGAACATATATTTCAAATATAAACTCGTAGTGTAAAAAGCATTCTGAACTGTGGTCTTTCTGAATCCTTTGCAACAGAAACATTTCTTCATTATATCGCTGTACTCAGAATGAAAGCTAAGAGCTGGCATTCTCAAAGAAGTGCCTTGAATCTAAAGCCACTGAGAACCACTGGTCTAAAATACAGATATAAAATTAATTTAATAAAAATGAATGTAATAGTTTTTAATGTACCCTGTGTTTGATCCAAAAGTATCTTTAAGTTTCTCTGCATTTGCAAATGGTGGAAAAATAATGCGATATAGTCATGGCATATTATTACATATTCAAAATTGAATGGGTTTCATGTCCAGAACTTTTTGAGGCTGCTAGATAGACACATAGCCTCATTATATAATGAATTTGCTAAATCCCAGGCGTGTTTGTAATCAAGGAAACTACACTGATTGTATCTGCTCAAAGGAACAATAATCACACTTCTTTAATAATTATAAGCAAGAACTACAAATTATAAGAAACCTGAATTTTTAACCAAAATGATTAGAGACTGGTTCTATTTTGAAAAAAGGGAAGAAAAGGCTGGTGTTTTTTAAAAAAAATATGCCGGTCTTCCTTACTATTTTGCAGTCATCTCCTGGGGAGTCATGGAGAGAATGAATGTGTATACCAGGTATTTTCTATGTTAATTAATATGGGAGAGGATTGAATATCTATTATATAATTAATATTGTGTGCCTTTTGGAATTAAGTGTTTAAACTTTTGAATATGTTTTCTTTTCAACATCTGTAAAGTAATGTTATTTAAAGGACTACCTCAAAGCCTATAGAAATCAGTTGTCTCCTAACCCTTCAAACGTTTATGTATAAGTATTCACATATATGGTGAATTTTGTCATTTACTTCAAGGAAACTACTTAATCCATAAAATTAAGTATGCCGATAAGAGGTTAAGAATCTTTCTATTTATTTCAGTGATTCAAATGCATCTAAACGGGCTCATAATATATTTTTTTTTGTTTAGAAAAGTACCTGAAAAGGGTGGTTTCTAAAGCATGATTTTGTGTTGATACACATCTCATGTAACACCATTAACATTCAGTAAATTTCATGGGACAAAAGTCTAACACACAACTTGATGCAGAAGCAGTCATTTAGAATCTCAGAAGTTCTTGTATTCTATAATACACAGGGCATATCAAATTCTATGAAAATCTGCTCTATAAATTGTAGATACCTTTAAATAGTCATTTTATTGAGGGGGGGGGGGAAGGTTGAACATGTCTGAGACTTTAGATCTGTAATATCCTGTTCTTGTGTTCCTGCTGTATGTGGACAGCTATGAAAATACTGACGGACTGAAATACTAAACTGAAGATTCAAAGTGTCAACTGCATTTTAATATGTTTGTAATTCATAAGTCTGTGTGTATAGCTTCTTTCAATGCAGATATGTTTTCCTGTTTTTATTTTCGCAGGACTATACCTTGACAATGTACTTCCAGCAAGCTTGGAGGGATAAGCGGCTATCATACAATGTAATACCTTTAAATCTTACACTGGACAATAGAGTAGCTGATCAGCTTTGGGTTCCTGATACCTACTTTCTGAATGACAAGAAGTCGTTTGTACATGGGGTCACTGTGAAGAACAGAATGATTCGTTTGCATCCAGATGGGACTGTCCTGTATGGTCTGAGGTCAGTATCAGCATTTTAAAACTTTTTTTTTTAATAACAGTTTCTGATACATAAGGATTCTTTTATATTCTTCACTATCATACTTCCTAACAGCTGCAAATGACTTACACTTAAATGTTTGATGATCAATAAAACTGTAAAAATCATTTTGGATAATCTGAGAGAATTAGCTGTAATTTTTAGTAAGCCTTTACTATTTGTTTTAATAACAGATGACTCAATAGAAGCATTTTAAAATAAGATTTCTGCATTAAAAACTTCCTGTCATTGTTAGAATTACTCCTTAAAGGAACTGAAATAGGAAAAAGAGATAGAGAGAGATCAAATAAAAAAGGAAAATATATACAATGTCTAAACTGATTGCTAGTCAGATGCTTCATTATATAAATAACTTTTGAAAGAAGATGCCCAGGAAAAACTAGGAAGTGTCTTAATAAAGGAAAATGTTCATCATATCCATGAGGTACATTTGGATTAGGAAGATTTATGTGTGTTTTTTTAATATCATTTACATTGATAACTGGATCAGACGTTAAAAGCAAAGCAATGGCAAAGCATGGAATATTTTCACTGTGTCATATGGAGGCTTGGCAATTGCGAGGCATGGCTTTTTGTTGTAGTTCATATAGAACAGAATTCCTTCAGATGTCAATATATTATATACCATTCTGCTTACAATGGTTGGAGTGCAGCACACTTTATAAACATGTTTCCAAATGTTGTCCTGCCCTTATTGAACAAAGCAAAGATGGAGTATGACTAGTAGGACTGTCAAAACAACACCGTCTTGTTTTGACTTCCGTTTTGCCATTTCAATGGGACATTGTGTTTTGTTTTGAGTTTTGTCTTGTTTTGAAAGCACTATTCCGTTTAATTTTTTCAAAACCATTTTGCTGTTTCGACGTTTCGCCCATAGGCTATAATGGGGAAACACAAAACTGCCTATAATTGTCATTCTTGCTTGATTTGGATGAAACTTGCAAGGATGGTAGCCCCTTCTCAGGCCATGAAGTATGATAAGTTTCAAGAAGGTAGGTACAGGGGTTTCTGGGAAACTGCACCTCAAAGTCTTGAAAGCAAAACCCATATCACGTGTGTGTGTTAAGGCACAGCCGGGTGAAAACTGCAGGCATGGTAGCCCCCGTGGAGTCCATGAAGCCTGCCAGCTTTCAAGGAGATAAGTGCAGAGGTTTTGGGGAAACTGCACTTCAGGCTGCTGACAAGTAAAACTTGCGACGTGTGTGTGTGTTAAGAAGCAGTGGTTCACTATATATGTGAAAACTGCAGGGATGGTAGCCCCTGCTGAAGCCATGAAGCCTGCCAAGTTTCAAGGAGATAGGTGCAGGGGTTTCTGGGAAACTGCACCTCAAACTGTTCAGAGCAAAACTTGTGTCACTTGTAAGTGTGAAGGCACAGAGAAAGTTCAGTTCAAACAATGCTTTTAATGCTGTTTTTCTGTCCCTCCCCCAGAGCACTGGGATTGGAAGGGACCTCAGGGAAGGATCACAGTCACTGGCCAGCTACACATGTCAATATCAGAACAGTCATTCCCTCCTCATCCCCCTCCCTCTCGTTAGTTTCTCTTTAGCGGCAAGCAAGCCCAACTTCAAAACTCAAAATATTTAGAAACTTTCAAAATGTTTCGACTACCCTCACTTCATTTTGAAGCTGTTTTGAAGCCTTTCATTTCATTTCAATTTCATTGTTTCGAGCTTGAAACTAGTTGAAACAGCCTCAAAACGAAATTGCTGGCAAAATTTTGCACAGCCCTAATGACTATGTTTCTACAAAGTCCTTTTGCTTTTTTGTTCTGTAATGTCATTGGTGTCTTTTTATATTTCTTTTCTAGTCCAAGCTATACAGGGAGGATTATACTGTGGTTGCTCGGGGCTGTGGGGGGCAGTCAGGAAGGCCAAGGAGGAGATGGAACCTGGGACTAGCTTCCCAGATCAAGGACAACTAGAAGTCCTTTTTTAAATGCATAGGGGGCAAAAAGAAGGTACCGGGTAACGTGGGGCCCCTGCAGGACATGCTAGGAAATTTGGTCGTCACACCATATGACAAAGCTAACATATTTAACGATTTCTTTGCCTCCATTTTCCTGAGCAGGGACCGGAACAGCCACCCCCCATCTGGGCCCCCCTCAGACCCAAGGGGAGGCGCACCTAGGCCAAGGGTTAGTGAGGAAATAGTTAGGAAACTTCTGGAGGGACTGGATGTATTCAAATCAGCTGGTCTGGATGATCTCCACTCTAGAATACTGAGGGAATTAGCTGAGGTCATTGTGGGACCCCTGGCATGGCTGTACGAGCACTCATGGTGCTCTGGTGTGGTGCCAGAGGACTGGAAGAGGGCCAATGTGGTTCCCATCTTCAAAAAGGGGAGGAAGGAGGACCTGGGAAACTATAGGCCAGTTAGTCTTACCTCAATCCTGGGCAAGCTTTTTGAGAAAATTATTCTGGCACATGTCCACGAGGGTCCAGCAGGGGAGATTATGCTTAGGGCCAACCAACACGGGTTCATTACAGGCAGGTCCTGTCTGACCAACCTGGTGGCCTTCTATGACCAGTTCACTGAATTCTTAGATGCAGGGGTAGCAGTGACTTCCTGGACTTTCGGAAGGCCTTCGACACTGTCTCTCACCCCGTTCTCATTGAGAAACTGGGGGACTGTGGTGTCGACACCTACACAGTCAAATGGGTCACCAACTGGCTGGA